TTGAAGGTGGCACTCCATTCATACAGAAGCGGGACAGCCACAAGGAAGAGGATGAGGAGCCACTGGCCCAGCGAGATCTCCATTTTCTCTGAACAAAGGGAACAGGAAGAAGCAGAGTTTATTTCTGATGCATTCCTAGAAACCAAAAGTAAACAGAGCCTTGCAAACAATTGTCGCTGACTTTCCCCTAACCTTGTCCTCTTCAGAGGTACTGGGAGGCCATGTTGGCTGGAGACAACTGGTAGTTGTGGTTCTAATCCAGGGCTTTTCAACCTTTTCACCCATTGTACCACTTTTAGGATATGGCAACATCCGAGTACCACCAGTCGCCTAGCAAGGTGTCAAAAACTTGATGACCAAAAAAAGGAAAAAAGTGATGAAGTACAGGTAGTCCTCAACTTACAGCAGTTCAGTTAGTGACTGTTCAAAGTTACAATGGCACTGAAAAAGTGCCCCCCAAGCCACAACTGAGCAAGACACCTGCCTGCCCGCCCGGTGGCACTCTTCCTCCTGTCCAAGGTTTTCATTGTTGTGAGCATTTCTGTTGAGGATTGGCAGCGAGGGTGGGGTGGGGGGTATTTGGTCCCCCCCCATCTGCTGGATGGTTGCAGCAGGTTTTGGTCACTTCACATGACCCTGGGACACTGTGACCGTCATAAATATGAATCAGTTGCCAAGCATCTGAATGTAAATCACAAGACCCTAGAGAGGCTGCAACATTCCAGCTGATCGGCGCTTCTTCTGGGCTCAGCAGAAGCGTCAGGATCAGCGCTGAGCTCCAGCTGGAGCCTGGCACTGATTCTGGCGCTTCCCCTGAGCCCTGACAGCCCCGAAGAAGTGCCAATCAGCTGGAGCCTGGCGCTGATCCTGGCACTTCCGCTGAGCTCGGACAGCCCTGCAGTTCCAGCCATCTCTCGTTCAGGCTTGTGCGGTGCTGCCACCGGTTCAGCTCATTCCCCTCCCCCACTACCACTTTTCTAGGATGGTCGCGTACCACCTGCCAGATGCCAATGTACCACCGGTGGTACCCGTACCACTGGTTGAAAAGCCCTGTTCTAATACACCTGGAGGTCACCTGACTGGAAAAGCTATAGAGGTGGTCCTCAACTTGTGACAGCTTCTGGAAGATCACGGAAGGATTCGCTGACTGTCCCGAAGGTGCTTCCTTCCAAAAGGCAACCGGACGTTGTTTTTCTTTGAAGACCTTTCGCTTCTCATCCGAGAAGCTTCTTCAGTTCTGACTGAAGGGTGGAGAATGGAAGGATTTATATTTCTTGCTGTCATCTGTTCGAATGGTACGGGAGGATGAAGGGATTTCCAGAAAAAAATTGCAGACTACGGGATTCAGGTGACCCTGAGGGCACAGATAAACCTCCAAGTGGCCTCAACGCCTCTCAGAAAAGAGTACTAACGACCAGATGACTGCAAGGAATATAAGTCTTTCCATTCTCCACTATTCAGCCAGAACTGAAGAAGCTTCTTGGATGAGAGGCAAAACGTCTTCAAGCCAAACAAGAAAGTCCGGTTGAAAGAAAGCACTTTGGGGGCAACCATGATTTGGATGACTGAGAATCTTCACAGAGGTTCACTGAATGCTTTCAGGAGCCACTTACGGCTTTGAAGCATTTGGTTACACCCCTTGCTCCAGGGGCGTTTTGTTCAACCTTAGCAACTTTTAAGTTGTATGGACTTCAGTTCCCAGAATTCCTCAGCCAGCATGCTGGACTTCTGGAAGTTGAAATCCACATATCCTAAAGTTGTCAAAGTTGCAAGGGTTGCCACAAAGAAGAGGGAGTCAAGCTATTCTCCAAAGCGCCTGAAGGCAGGACAAGAAGCAACGGATGGAAACTAATGAAGGAGAGAAGCAAACTAGAACTAAGGAGAAACTTCCTGACAGTCAGAACAATCAACCAGTGGAACAAGCTGCCTCCAGAAGGGATGAATGCTCCAACACTGGAGGTTTTTAAGCAGAGACTGGACAGCCACTTGTCTGAAATGGTATAGAGCAGTGGTTCTCAACCTGTGGGTCGGGACCCCATTTGGGGTCGAACGACCATTTCACGGAGGTCGCCAAGCAACGCAATCCGCCATTTTTTCCCCCTTTTCCTTAGATGTGCTACTCCCTTTTATTCTATTGGCTTTTGAAAGCCAATAGAATAGACTCTCTTGAATAGAGTCTAATTCTATTGGATTTCAAAAGCCAATAGGAATTGTCCAGGCTGTCTCTGCCCTGCTGAGCCCGCCAAAAGTCCCATTCTGCAAACGGTGCTGCACCAGTTGAGTAGTCCTCGACTTACGACCGGTTGAGTAGTCCTCGACTTACGACCGGTTGTGGGTCGCAGCATTAAAAAGGTTGAGAACCACTGGTATAGAGTTTCCTGCCTGAGCAGGGGAGTTGGACTAGATTACCTCCAAGGTCCCTTCCAATATTATTATTATTATTATTATTATTATTATTATTATTATTATTATTATTATTATTATCATCATCATCATCATCATCATCATTATTATTATGTTGTTGTCTGTTGTTGTTGTTGTTATTGTTATTGTTGTTGTTGTTGTTGTTGTTGTTGTTGTTGTTGTTATTATTATTATTATTATTATTATTATTATTATTATTATTATTATTATTATTACTTCTCTAGGGAACCAGCTTCACCATTGACCTTCTCTGGCACGCAACCAAAACTTATTCTCCGGTAACTTCAACCTATGCAAGTTAGACCCCACTTTTGAGGGTAGGCAGCAGGGAACCGGTCACTTCCCAGTTCTATGGCTGCAGCTTTTCCAGGATTTAATCTACCAATCTTGCTCAAAGGCATTTTTAAGAAAGCACTTTAACAGTACGATCCCTCAGAGAGCTGTCAAGGTCCCAAAGTTAAAAACATTTAGTAGCCTTTCATCTCATGTTTCTCTGCCATTATTGACTTTTTCAATGCGTGAATTTAAATCCGTGCGAGGGGAGCCAGGGGACCCCGTGCAGATTATAAACACAGTTTCTGTCCCAGAACCTTGTGCAACACACAGGACCTTTGTGATAGACACACTAGCTTGTCTCTGCCCAGAAAGACATATAATAGGATCTTCTCCCAGACCCATTGGCAGCTGCCTGAACCGGAATATTCTTGAAATATTTTTTTCTTCTTCTTACAGAATTCTTTTAGATAGATTGAGGTGAATGGGGTGCGAATAGAAGTAATTCTCAATTTACAAAATTCATTTAGTGACCGTTCAAAGTTACAGTGGCACAAAAAAGGGGACGTGACGACCATTTTTCACACATATGACCGTTGCAGCATCTCCCGTGGTAATCAAGTAATCAAAATTCAGATGCTTGGCAACTGATTCATATTTACGACGGTTGCAATGTCCCAAGGTCACGGGATCATCACCTTTTGCAACCTTCTGAACAGCGAAGTCAATGGGGAAGCCAGATTCACTTAACAACTTCATTACTAACTTAAAAACTGCAATAGTTTACCTAACAACTGTGGCAAGAAAGGTCGTAAAAGGGGGCAAAATTCACTTAACAAATGCCTTGCTCACCACCAGAAATTTCGGGGCTCAATTGTGGTCATAAGTCAAGGACTACCTTACAAGGATGGGGAAACCTACAGCCTTCTGCCCGTTGCTAAACTACAACTCCCAGCATCCCTCACTCTGGCTGGTAAGAATTCAGTCTAATTTGGAAGTCCATAATTTTCGGTCTCTTCTTTCCTTATCACAGTTTAGGGCAGGGGTAGGGAACCTTGGCTCTTTTGTGACTTGTGGACTTCAATACCCAGAATTCCTGAGCCAGCCATGCTGAGGGCAAAGGGAGAGGTTTCCAAGCTGAGCCATGCTGGCTCAGGAATTCTGGGAGTTGAAGTCCACGAATCATAAAACAGCCAAGGTTGCCTACCCCTGAGCTGGAGAATTACAGTAGTCTAGCTTTAGTTGGCAAGATTCGGTCTGCATGGTGTGAGCAAATAAAGGAGTGAACCTCGGCTAGATTGTTTTATGTCATTCTTGGGTTGGGCCTAACAGCCCCTCAGCTCTTAGCTATGAACTGACTTAATAGCTCAGGGTTTATAGGAGTTGAGGTTTTCCAGTAGTGCAACTGGCCTGCACAATCCTTGACTTACGACCATTCAGAGTTACAACAGACCTCCCTGGAGGTACTTATAACCTGGTTCCAAAGTTCCAACAGCTGCCCCCCCTCCCACGATCATGTGACCACATGTCAAGCATTCAGCCACTGAACCGCATTTATAGTTGTATGCAGCATCCCGTTTTTGCTGAAAAAAAACCCCCAGCCTTTTCTTCTAGTTTTTGGCAATTGCTTTGTCAACCGCCACAAAAAAGGTCATAAAATCAGATTGGTCATTGTGGATGACCCATTTTATAACCTTCACAGCTTAGGACTGTAAGGGGTAGGCTCCATTATCATTATAAGTCGAAGGCTACTTGTACACTGTGAACCATTTCTTCCTTTTTACTATCTCCTTTTAATCAAATATACTTCGAGCAGCTAATAACCATACATATATAATCCAGTATAATCAAACTAAACTGTAGTATAGCTCAAAACACACCAATATCAGAAAAACAATGGAATAAGGGCACAAAATGTCACATTTCCCATGACAGCTTTTCTTTTTTAGGAAAATCCACATCACTGTCAATCACTCTTCATCTTGACAGGGTCATAATATTGGGAAAGAGAGCAAGTTTCTCTCCCAGACCAGTAATAGCATTGGTGTTATTTATCTCTGGATAAGTAAATCCTTTGCAAGTTACCCTCTATTTCCACTTTTTAGGTTGTTATTGCACATCTCAAGAAACCCATAAGAGGTGTCTAAACTCTTTTAAGACATTCCTTGATTGTACTGGGAGATTATGTGATTTATGAACCTTATGAAAGTTATGATATATTTAGCCACGATTTATAGAGTATGCCATAGCTAGCTAGGTTCATTCAAGATGAAACATCTTGAATCTTCAGAACAGCAGCTCCAGCAACCAACCAGCCAGCAAACAGTTCTCTTGCTATCTACCAAGCTCCTTACTTCCAATAGTTTTATTTAATTCTTTTAATTTTAGAGT